AAGGTTTTGAGGGTTACTTTGGACAAGAAATGGTCTGGTCGTCCGATGTTGTAGAGAAGTCCAATGACAGCAACTTTTCCAGTTTGGCTTTGGTGCACCAAATGAGCTTCTAAGGCAAACCTTCTTCCATTGATGGTGTGCTCAGAGGGCGAGTGCCAATGACATTGTCTTAGAAAATATCGAGTTCCATTGACATTTATAGATCCAGCTCCACCACTCCATTTCAGCTGCAACCATCACAACAAGTAGTTCAAATTAGGTTAGATTACATAAAATTTTATCGTATCATTCTCGAGGTATAAAATTAGATCAAATTAGCGTTTGTTCTCCATCGTAAACCTAATTGTAAATTATCATATAACGTAAAAGTGTTCGTGGGTTGGGTCGGGTCGAACCGAGACATATTCAATTCAACCTAACCATACAATTTTTTGGGTTGGTGTGGTTCGAGTTGTTCGAGTCATTAATCAACCCAATTTATAAAAAAAAATTATTTATTCGAACCAAACCCAACTCAAATCGAACAAATTGGGTTGGATTGATCATGGTTTAATATATCTAAGCCAAAAATCAATAGGAAGAGGTTTCCACGCACTTATACGGAATGTTTTGTTCTCCTCTCCAACCGATGTGGGATCTCACAATCCACTCTCTTTGGGGTCATCGTCCTCGCAGGCACATCGCCCCCGGTGTCTAGCTCTTATATCATTTGTAACATCGAAGCTCAAGATAGCATATATTGTTCTCTTTGGCTTTCTCTTATGGGTTTCACCTCAAGATTTTAAAACTCAACTACTAGAAGAGGTTTCCACAGTCTTATAAGAAACGTTTTGTTTCCCACTACAACTGACATGAGATGTCACGAAAATGAAAGAAAATATTATTTTGGTTACCATGATATCGTGACCTCTGTTCTTGAGAGTTGCATTGGAGGGTTTATAGTCGATCTTGAGGTTCGTAAAATGGGACACAATTCGGACTCTCTTGTGCAACAAATCAATAGGAGATTGCATCAATCCAGTCTTACAGCCATGCCATTCTCGTTTAAGATCTCCCCAATGAGTAGGCCCTCTATCTCCTTCAGCGTCATAATCAAACTCCTTCTGATCTTCTGCTCCCAATCAAAAAAAACAAAACAAAATAGATTAACTTTTATGTGACGTCATGAATTCATAGATGTGTATAACGAGGATTACATTTTAAGAAATTATAGATCTGGTGTAAAAACAAGGAAATCAGTAGATTATCCTACGTACAGATTTGATCTATTCTACGTTTAACGAACATAATCACGAAGAAGTAGAGAAATAAAAGATGATTTAATGGGTTCCCTACCAACTTCTTGACACATTACAGGCCATGAAACCAGAAGAAACGCACATAAAAATGCGCCAAAAATGACGTGAAATGGGAGCTTCTCCATTTTTAAACCTTTGGGTTCTTCTTTAAATGTTTGGCTATGTAGCCAAGCTAAGCAATTTGGGTGTGGTCTGTGGTGATTTAAGAACAAAAATTAGGTATTTATAAGCCTCAAACATACAAATTTGAAGCTTCTTTGTTTCTTCCTTCGTCTATTTCAACTTAAGTTTGAAAAAAATGGAGAATGCCAATGAATTCTTCCCAATCTCATCACCATACATAATTAATGGATATTGGAAACAAAATGTTGGCGTACACTTTCTTTTACAACTTCATAGGGGTGGCCCATTCCCGCTCGTATTTAATAAATCTGTCAACTTTCGAAAATTAAATTAATCGAAGCGGAAAAATTTAGTTCGAAATATAATAAACCTCCTAAGATTCGAACTACGTTACTTACTTCTCGGTTCTAAAAGTGAACACAATTCTTCGAGCATGTTTTGTCTTCACTCACATACCTCTTAAGAAAATCATAGAGTTCTTATGATCGAGCCATTGAAATAGAAGGTGCACCTTGTTGGTATAAGTAGTAAGTTTCAATTTTTTTATGTCTTTTTTAGTAATTCTATTCTCATGATTGCCTTCGTTTGAATATGATATCAGTTCATTCATGTCTCATATGTTAGTCAGATATCACACCTAAACTCCATAATATTAAAAAATAAAACTTGGGATGTCATTAAAACCTTAAAAAAATTCAAATCATCTACTTCCCAACTGAAATTGCACGAAATAAGTAACGTCATTATCTAAAAAACAAAATGTGCAGATCTGAAAGCTCATAAGACCCGAAGAAAAATCTTGGTTCATCACCATATGTATAACCTCGTTAGTATGAACGCCTTTGTCACATGTCTTGTAGTTTATGCATCATCTAAAAACCAAAAACAAAAATAAAATTGAAAAGGAATGAATATTAATTTTAAAATAGTTGTTTTTATGTTTGAAATTGAAAATATTTAATAAAAATTGCAATCATTATCAAAGAATTTAAAATAAGTTGGAGTAGGGTCCATACTCTAATTTTGATTATCAACTAATTCTCAATAGAAATTAATTACATCATAGTGATATAAATTTCCAAGAAATTTCCTCCTCCAAAGAAATTGCCCAATACGTCACCATCTCTCACAATGACTATTTGTTTGGTGAAAACATAATCTATAATTTTTATTTATTTATTTATTTATTGAATTTCGATCGTTCACGAAACTTATTTTAAGATCAAATAAATGTCTTAATTTTTTTTATAATAAGATACCTCGATAGGTTTTAATGATTATTGTGTTCGAGGACATTCTTTAATTAATGACATATTTATCCTTCATTTTTTTTAAATTCTTATTAATTAATTTCTGTTAAAAATTAATTTAATATATTCATATAGCTCATTACCAATTTGAGCATTTCTCAATGAATAAGACACTAAATATTTTGAGTGGAATTTGGCTACGTTCATTTCTCAATCTCTCTTGCAATTGCCTCGAAATTGCCATCTCCACATATCTCTCCCTACATCACTCTCCTTCTCTCCCATTTTCTCTCTATCCTTTTCACTCGGTTTCCACCCTCTTTTTCATCTCCACGAATTTTAAATGACAAAAACTATCCTCACAGACCAACACGAGTTTTTGTAACATACTTTCCTCACTCATATTCATGTTAAGGAAAATTTCCTGTGTAATTTAGAATTCCTCTTAGTAATGCTTGTTTAAGCATTAAAATTTATGTGATTGAGGCACTAAGAAGAAATGTGGACTTGTTTTTAAGCCTTTTTTAGTTTTCATACTTCCAAGATCGCTCTCATTCAAATGTGATATCAGTTTATTCATGTATACCTTTTTTACTCGAGTGTCGTATCAAAACACTTGAAAACTCAAAAAAATCGATCAACCCAACCTAGATTATTTGGATTGGATTGAGTTGGTTTATGGGTTTCCCTAAAACTAGATTAGGTTAAACCGAAATATATATATAATTTTATAATCATTTTTTATTCTTTATTCTCCAAATAACTCTTAAAAATAATTTTTTAACATTTTACTTTTATTAAAAATAAAAATGTGAATAAACATCTGAATAACTTAAACCAACTAAACAAAAAAAATTATTGTTCGGTCGAAATAAAAAATGTCTCAACCAAACTTAACCCAATAACATTCTTAAAATTCACAAAAATGGTCTGAAAATTGATAGACGTACAAACTATAGATTTCAATAGAAAAATGTCGTATTAATCATATAAAATTGATTAATCAAACTCTTTAATTAATTAATTTTAACATTAACGGTATGTCACTTCACTGTAGAATTAAAGTTGCACTCTTATGTATGTTTGGATAATTTGTGTCTATGAATATAATTATTATAAATAAGTCAGCCATTATGAGTGGTTCGTAATTACAATTAGGTTAAAAAGTCCGTTTTATCATTTTAATTTCATCTTATAATTTAAAAGTATTACAAATTCTCGAGAGAAAAATATGTATATAATTAAATCATAAACTAAGTTTCTCTCTGACTAATCAGACTAATGAAACTGATTCGTATCTACTTCGGTTTATATTTTAATGAAAAATATCAAATTTATTAAACCATTTTAAAAAATTAATCACATTATAAGCCCATTTAATATATTAAACAAGTTTTACATCTTCTGGTAGTAAATTTTAATTTAAAATTTATTAACCTTTATAACTTGTTTAAGTCAACTGATCATATTGCATTTATGATATTTATACCTTATTAAACACCATTGGCAGTCTTAGGATTAGAGGTTTTAAATCTAAAACAATTTAAATTGCTCATGTCCCAACGTTGTTGGACAATTGAAGTGGATTCATTTTAACAACCCGTAAAACTAACGGCGATACGTTAACATATCAAAGTAGACGATATCTGTTAGCGGTGGACTTGAGCTGTTACAATGGTATCAGAGCCAATCCTCAGACGGTGTGAGACACTAGTCGGAGTAGGACTAGACCATCTTCATAGTAAACGCTGTAACGGTCCAGGCCCACTGCTAGTAGATATTGTCTTCTTTAGGTTTCCTTTTCAGACTTCCCTCAAGGCTTTAAAGGTTTCCATACTCTTACAAAAGATGTTTCGTTCTCCTCCCCAACCTATGTGGGATATCACTTTTAAAAGCATGCAGCTAACATATATGTAACGAGCTAAAAAGGACAATATTTGCTAGCAGTGGACTTGAGTTGTTACAAATGGTATTAAAACCAGACACCAGACGATATGCCTGTATTTTAAAACCGTGAGGCTAACGACAATACGTAACAAACTAAAAATGTTTGTTTTTAATACGTATTTAATACAAAACTTTGTGATCAATTGGTTAATGAATGTATTTAATACGTAGAACCAAATGGGTACTCTTTGTTTAGTTGTAAAGCTACCAAACCTGTTGTTGTGTAGACAGCAATAGACGTAGAGGTAACCAAACCTGTTGTTGTGTAGGGTGCAATAGACGTAGAGGTACAACAAATTATTAGTGCAAAGTTTGAGAGTTGTATACGTAAACGCTTCAACTTAGTGCTATATTAAAGGGCACCAAGTTTGGTTCTCAAAATCTCCATTAACAACAAATGAAAGGCCTTAATATGGAGAAGAAGCTCTCTTTTCAAGTGATGTTATGCTCATTCTTCTGTGCTTTTCTTTTGGTTTCAAGGCCTGCAATGTCTCAAGAAGTTGGTAGGGAATCATTGACTTATGAGCTTTTTATGAGCCTTTTTTGTGTTCTTTTTCTATTGGAGCGGTATGTTTTTGTGATGTCCACCTTAGTTAGGAGGAGAACAAAACACTATTTATAAGCGTGTGAAAACCTTTCTGTTTTAAAGAAAGCCTAAAAGAGAAAATCTAAAAAGAACAATATCTACTAGCAGTAAAAAAAAAGAATTTGATTTATGGGTTTGATCAATAAAATGTTAGTTTTTCAAAAAGTCAGAGAATCAACTAGAGATGTCTATTTAACTCACTCCAAATGAAATGAAAAATACTTGTTTACACCTGAAATAGGAGAGGGAGCACTGAGAGATTTATCACGAAAGATATTTAGTCGTGAATTATAGTTTACTATATATCATATTTGATCCTTTATTGGAGGTAAATATCTATTACGGTTTTACTGTAAGTATCATATTTGACATATTATTATAAGTAAATATCTTGTATTCATTTATTTTGCTCTCCCAATTTTATAGTAGCTACATACACTTCAATTGTTTTCATGTTCATGAAGAGGATGAGAGTGAATTCAACTACGAAGAAGGTGGAGAAAAAGGACCAGCAAATTGGGGAAATCTCAAACAAGAATGGCGTAAATGTAAAACTGGCACGATGCAATCTCCTATCGATTTGTCGCACAAGAGAGTTCAAATAATACCCTATTTTGGAGACCTCAAAATCTACTACAACCCTTCCAATGCCACTCTCAAGAATCGAGGCCATGACATAATGGTAAACTTAATTTTCATCGAGTGTTCATATTGTTAGAGCTCTACGATAGCGTACGAAAAACGCTATCATATATGTTATAATAGAGTGATCTAATTTGAGCAATGTTGTTCAGCTGAAATGGGGCGATGGAGCTGGGTATATAGAAGTGAATGGTACTCAATATGTCTTCAAACAATGCCATTGGCACTCCCCTTCGGAGCACACCGTCAATGGCCAAACCTTTGCTTTAGAAGCTCATTTAGTTCATCAAAGCCAAAATGGAAGTATTGCTGTCATTGGAATTCTCTATCGGATTGGACAACCCGACCCTTTCTTGTCCTTGGTATGTATCAAACATCGGTTTAAGAGAGGAACGAAACACTTTTTATAAGCGTGTCAAAACGTTTTCTCAGTAGAAACGTTTTAAAATCTTGAAAAAAAAATTCGAAGAGAACAATATCTACTAATAATGTGTTTGAGTTGTTACACATACACTTTAATAAGATTTAATTTTTTTTTATTTAATGTTTTTGTTCCTCAGATAAAAGATGATCTGGAAGAAATTTCATATACAAATGATATTAAATTTATGCAAAACTGTGCCTCTCACTATTGAGGACATATTCTATTTATATAGGCAAAAGATTAACTAATACATTGCAGATCCGATTTCATAGGAAACTAACGAAGTAAGCCTATTCTTATGGCATGACTAACTTCAAGCTATTCTAATGGATTGACCAATTCTAACAGTCCCCTTCAATCCCAACAAGTCTTGTACATGTTGAGATTGTTACAATGTGTAATAAAAGGAGTTTTAGACAGTGGTTTTGTCAGGATATCAGCTACTTGATCACTTGATGAAATGAACCGAACTTCCATTGCTTTACGTGCTACTTGTTCTCGAACAAAATGAAAATCAACTTCAATATGTTTCGTTCTGGCATGAAACACTGGATTTGAAGTTAAATATGTAGCTCCGAGGTTGTCACACCAGAGGCGAGGAGCCTTTGATTGATACACGCCCAGTTCCTTCAGTAATGACTTGATCCAAATCATTTCTGCAGTAAGATTCGCAATGGCCTTGTATTCTGCTTCGGTGCTTGATCTTGACACTGTAGCCTGTTTTCTGGAACTCCATGAGATTAGATTTGCTCCAAGAAATACAGCAAAGCCGCTAGTTGAACGTCGATCATCGGGACAACCAGCCCAATCAGCATCAGAAAACCCCGACAGCATCATGGTTGATTTCTGAATTTTCACTCCTAATGCTAGTGTGCCTTTAACATAACGAAGAATTCTCTTCACAGCACCCCAATGAGCATCAGTAGGTGTATGAAGATATTGACACACTTTATTGACAGCAAATGCCAAATTAGGCCTAGTCATTGTCAAATATTGTAGTGCTCCCACTGTACTTCTGTATTTGAATTGTTCTTCAGCTGATAAGGGTATTCCTTGTTCTCTGAATAATTTTTCAGCAGAACCCATTGGTGTGGACATAGGCTTGCATTTTTCCATGTTTACTCTTTTCAACAAATCTAAAGCATATCGTCTCTGTGACAGTATGATACCATCTCGTGTTTTCTTGACTTCTATACCTAGAAAATACTCAAGATCACCCAAATCTTTTACTGCAAAATCTATTTTCAATTTCTGAATCAACCTTTCGGTTGCTTGATCAGAGGAGCTCACAATAATTATATCATCAACATAGATGAGCATATAGATAGTTATCTCTCTGTTTTTGAGAATAAAAAGAGATGAATCAGCTACTGAAGCCTTGAAGCCTAACTCAATAAGTTTTCCAGTCAACCTTGAATGCCAAGCTTTTGGGGCTTGTTTCAGGCCATAAAGGGCTTTCTTGAGCTTGCATATGTAATTCTTTGGTTTGGCTGAGTCTTGAAATCCTGGTGGTTGTCGCATGTACACTTCCTCTTTCAGAATTCCATGCAAAAATGCATTTTGGATATCAACTTGTCTCATATTCCAGCCTTTGGTTACTGCTAGCGAAAGAATGACCCTGATTGTTGCCGGTTTGATCACAGGGCTAAAAGTATCAGTGTAATCAACACCAAATCTTTGCTTGAATCCTTTGGCAACTAATCTTGCTTTTAATCTTTCAACTGACCCATCTGCTTTTCTTTTCACTTTATACACCCATTTACTATCAATGAGATTTATTCCAGGTTTGGGTGGAACTAGATCCCAAGTGGCATTTCGTTTTAGCGCTGAGAGCTCATCATTCATTGCTCCTCTCCATCTTGGATGTTGCATGGCTTCCTGCAGGTTTCGAGGTTCAGTAGCAGTCTCTATGATCGGAGTTGTGACAGTTACAGCGCTTGCGAATTTTCTTGAGGTTTCTGAATATCTGATAGTTCCATCAGTGAATTGTTTAGCTTGTACAATGTTATTTCTCAACCTTGTTCGCATTGGGTGTTGACTAGCTGCTTCAGTTGGTTGATCAGACACATGTTCATGAGTTTGGTTTTGAGCAATGATCGAACTGCTCTCAGCTTCATATTCTGCAACTTCCTCTGAACTTCTTGTATTATCTGCAGAAGATAAGCTGACACCAGACAAGTTGTCACTAGCAATATTATCAGTTTGACCATCATTCATATGGGAATTACTAACAACTGGTTCAATATCTGTAAGAGCATTTTCAGTGTAAAAACTAGCAAGTTTGGCTAAGGCTGGAAGTAGAACAGGATGATGTGGATTTGTGGTTTTGTTTGGTGGCTTGGATTCTTCAAAAGGAAAAATATTTTCATCGAAAACCACGTCTCTAGAGATGTAAATACGTCCTGTACTTCTATTTAAGCATTTATATCCCTTATGAGAAGAGCTATAACCCAAGAATATACATCTAGTAGTTCTGAAACTCAGTTTCTTGTTGTTGTAAGGTCTTAAATTAGGCCAGCAAGCACAGCCAAACACCCTAAGCATGGAGTAGTCTGGACTTTTACCAAACAATTTATGAAGTGGTGTGTCTTGTTGTATGGTTCGACTGGGCATTCTATTTATAAGAAAGCAAGCTGTGTTGAAAGCTTCATCCCAGTAGGATAGAGGCATGTTGGCTTGAGCGAGTAAAGCAAGGCCAGTTTCTACAATGTGTCTGTGTTTTCTTTCGACTAACCCATTCTGCTGGTGTGTGTGAGGACAGGAGATATGATGTTCAATGCCTGTGGATTTGAAATAATTGTGTAACCGATGGTATTCACCCCCCCAATCTGATTGGACAGAGCGAATTTTGGTATTTAGCATAGTTTCAACATGTTTTTGAAATTGAAGGAACACAGACTCAACATCAGATTTGCATCTCAGAAAGTAAATCCAAACATAACGACTAAAATCATCAACAAAGGAAACATAATATTTGGAATTATTTACTGACGCAATGGATGGACCCCATACATCAGTGTGAATTAATTGAAGGGGTGCTGTAGATACATGCTGAGAAGAACCAAATGGCAATTGATGTGCTTTCCCTAATTGACAAGCATTACAAATTAAGGAAGAGGGAATATTAGTATCTATAGCTAAATTATTATCTTGTAGATTGACAAGCATTACAAATTAAGGAAGAGGGAATATTAGTATCTATAGCTAAATTATTATCTTGTAGAATTCTAATGGTAATTGGAGATGCAGGGTGCCCTAGCCTTCTGTGCCATTGCTCTTTCGAGAGTTTGGCTGTCAGCAAGGCTTGACTGAAATTATGCGGTAGAACGTATAGGCCATTCTTACATCTACCGTGGAGCAGGAGTTTCTTCGTGACTCGGTCCTTAACCAAGAAATAGTTTGGGTGAAATTCTACAACAGCATTATTATCAGATGCTAGTCTTTGTACTGAAATTAGGTGCTTATTGATTTTAGGAGCATATAGGATATGTTTCAGAACAAGAGATGAACCAGAAATTAATGAATTCCCAATATGAGAGATAGACAAACCTGCGCCATTTGCAACCTGAATTTGGTCGGTGCCAGTGTAGCGTTCTCTGGTGGTAAGCCTCTCTAGGTCATTGGTGATATGATCTGTGGCTCCAGTGTCAACATACCAGTTTGTGTCACTAGTGTATCCACTTGTTGCCAAAGCTGCTTGTTTGAGATTATTTTCGGCTTGATATGCCTGATCAAATCTGTGCCAGCATTGCAAAGCATCGTGATTGGGCTTACCACAAATCTGACAGACAATGCCTGAGCTGCTTTGTGTCTTTGATGGTTGACGTCCAGGATTGTTCACAGTGCGCCTTGTTTGTCCACGACCACTATTTAACTGACGACTACGACCGCGACTACCTCGACCTCCATTGGCACCTCCACGAATGGATATCCTGTTGACATTGTTAGCAGATGAAAGTTGCTCAAATGTACCATTACGCAAGTGCCGCATCTCATAGCTCAGCATGTGAGCATACACGTCGCTGACAGTGTATACATCTGTTCTGGTTGTAATGCTTGTGACTAGAGAATCATAATCTGGACCAAGTCCTTGCAGCATGTAGGCGATGAGTTCTTCATCCTCTACCCGCTTGCCAATGGCAGCAAGTGTATCACCAAGATGTTTTACTTTACGAAAGTAGTCAGCAATTGTCATGTCCTTTTTCTGGATAGTAGAGAGTTCCATACGGATCTGCATTGCTCTTGCTCGAGATGTGGAAGCAAATTGTCGCTCCAGCGTAATCCAGGCTTCTCGTGCAGTGGTGATTCCGACCATCGTGTTGAGAACCTCCTCAGTGACTGATGAGTTGATGAGGCTGAGTACCAGCTGGTCCTGGGGGTACCAGACTGTGAACTCAGGGTTGATGATACTTTTGCGATTCCCTGTTTCTTCACTTGGTTCAACGGCGATCGTCTGGCTTGGTGCAGGCATGGATCCATCCACAAAGCCAACAAGGTTTTGGCTGCGCAAGTAGGGAAGGATTTGGGTAGACCACAGTAGATAATTTTCTTGTGTAAGCTTAACACTAATCACCTGACTGATCGACGGAGAAGACATTGTGTTGAATGGGATTGACATGTTTAACAGCAGAGGCTATGGATCTCGTGGATCTTATTTCGGCTCTGATACCATATTAAATTTATGCAAAACTGTGCCTCTCACTATTGAGGACATATTCTATTTATATAGGCAAAAGATTAACTAATACATTGCAGATCCGATTTCATAGGAAACTAACGAAGTAAGCCTATTCTTATGGCATGACTAACTTCAAGCTATTCTAATGGATTGACCAATTCTAACAAATGAAACTAAAGAAATCAATACGATCGATGCATCGTTGCTGAAGATGCGAAGTAGTCTATACTATAGGTATATTGGCTCTCTTACAACTCCTCCGTGCACTCAAAATGTCATTTGGACGATTGTCAGACAGGTAATTTTCAGTCAAAATTCTATATTTTTTTTTTAATATTGTACGACTATTTATGTTGAATATCGTGCTTGCTTTTGAGCTTAATTCACTTTTTTGCATTTTTTAGGTTTGGACCGTTACACCCGAACAAATAGAATTGCTTCGCGTAGCTGTTCACGATGTAAGATTCTATTTATTTCACCCATAGATTTAATATCTTATTATTTATTTATTTATTATTATGGGTTAAAATTTAAATTGCAGGACTCAAACACTAATGCAAGGCCTTTGCAGCCACTTAACAATCGAACGATTCAACTTCAACCACGATATATAAAGAAGGAGAATTGATGTCTCAAACACAATAAATAATATTTTGCTATATTAGATATTACGTAACGAACTAAGTTTTAGAATATAACTTTGGTCGTGTTACCTTATGCATACAATGTATGAACCTTCAAAACTTAATCAAATAGAAATAACTAAAAAATAAAAGCTTTTTAAGAACGTAAAGACTTTCCTTCAAGATCTCAAGAATTTTTTTAAAAGAATTGTCTAAGATTGTCTTTGTTATTGCCCGGAAATATTGAGTATTAAAAATTGAATATTGACCCAATCAAGACTAAGATTAACATCGAGATGTGTACCACTTTCATATGCATAGATCAATGAATATCACTTTCATGTACACATACCCCACTAAACCAATATCACTTTCATACCTGCAGAGTCTTACCCGGTACTCATCACTTTCATATATATCAACTCTATATACATCACTTTCATACACTAGAACACAAAGGAGTATAATAATCTAAAAATAACTTTCAAACATCCATCCTTTCCTTTTTATTTAAACCATTTCAACTACGAGATAATAATTTATTGAGCTTTATGTTCGGATTTGTGTATAAACTGGGTGTTTATAAAAACCCTTGACCTCTCGACTTTCTACCAATATCATAATAAAAAATATTTCTATTGACCAATACGATCACGCTATTTACTCATCATTTCTAAGAGTGAAAACTATCTCCACAAACCAACACAAGTCCTTCCAGCATACTTTATCCTCACTGTGATGTCCTACATTTGTTAGGGAGGAGAACAAAACACCCTTTATAAGGGTGTGGAAACCTTCCCCTAGTAGACACGTTTTAAAGCCTTGAGGGGAAACCCGAAAGAGAAAGTCCAAAGAGAACGATATCTGTTAGCGGTAGATCTGGGCCGTTACAAATGGTATCAGAGCCAGACACCGGACTATGTGCTAGCGAGGAGGCTATTCCCCAAAGGGGTAGACACAAGACGATGTGCTAGTAAGGACTCTGGCCCTAAAGGAGGTGGATTTAGTGGGGGTCCCACATCGATTGGAAAAAGAAAAGAGTGTCAGCTAGTACTCTAGGCCTCGAAGGGGTGGATTGTGATGTCCCACATTAGTTGGGGAGGAGAACAAAACACTAAGGGTGTGGAAACTTTCCACCAACATATGCATTTTAAAGCCTTGAGGAGAAGTCCGAAAGGGAAAGCCCAAAGCCGACAATATCTGCTAGCGGTGGATTTGGGCCGTTACACTCACTCAGATGAAGAAGGGTTAGGAAAAGCCCAAAGTCGACAATATCGGCTAGCTGTGGATCTGTGCCGTTATACTCACTCAGATTTTCTATGAAATTTTTTAGTTTAACTCTTTATTAAAAAAGAAAATAATTAAAAAATGTTGCCTAGAAAGAATTAAGAGTCTTAAAGGAAAATCCCATTCAAATATCTCACAGTAATCGAAGATATACCGAGATCTCACGTGCCCCACAAGCAAACGAATCGGTACCAAATGTGCTAAGCATAATAAGCCAAGTATTATCCTCTTCTCGAATCTGAAGGTCTAATCTGGTTAATTTTTCTGAAAGTTATATGTATTTTGTTGCGAAATTGTCACCCAACTTCTCTGAATCTTTTGATTTAGTCTCTACATTCTGTAAAATGTAAATGAGCTCCCAGTTTTCCTCGAGTTTTCATCTCTTGTTAGTGAGTTAGGGTTCTTCAATCTACATGCAGTTTGTGCGGTAGAGGTATGTGGTTGTTTTTAGTTTTTTCTTTTCATTATCGGTAATGTGGGTTTGCGGCATAGATTAGGGCTTCTGGGTATGTCGCTAACGGGGTCTTTTTTGTAAGTCAGTCTGATTTAGTAAAATTCATTCCGCATTGTGACTATTTTTTGCATTGCATGGTTCGTTTGAAGCATATGCATAAGCTTTTCCTTTTGTAATCTGGTTCTCCATGGCAGTAGTTGCATAGTTCTTTGCTTTGGTAAATCTTTTTGGAATAAAATTTTGTGGCTATGCAATCTGGTTCAAATGAATGCTGCTGTTAAACTGTATGTTGAATTCAGAATATCACTTCCAACTTGATTTTCTTTTTTACAAATTCTATTTAGAATGAGCACTGTCAAAATTTTGAAGCTTTGTTGAATTCTTCTTTTTTCTTGACACTCCGAGTGAGTCTTGAGAAAATGATAAGCCCGTTCAATGAAGTAAATACTGTAAAAGCTTTGAAGCTAAAGGAAATTGCATTTAATTCAACTATTTGAAGCTGAAGCTTTTAGATTACTCACTTCTAATGTAAATGTTTTTTTACGCAGTAATTGGAAGTATGGTAAAGGACACTCGATCTAGTGTCAAAGCGAGTAATGAGGAAAACAGCAATCTAAAAGGGAAGCAAAATGGTGATAAGGTCACGACAAGAGCAGGTTCTACAACGCCTGATACATCTTCTTTAAGAAGGTCTGCAAGAGACACATCATTGAAGAAAAAGATTGATGCAACTCCTCCCAAATCTAGAAAATCTGAGCGTCTTGACAACAAACCATCTAGCACTCCTCAAGATAAAAAGAAACATGGTACCCTTGAAAATCAGAATGAGGTTAATTCGGTTAGAAGATCTGAGAGGGGTAAAAAACAGTCTTCATCTACTTCTTCAAGATCTATATCTAAGAAATCAGTTAAAAGCTCAGGCTCAACAAATATGAAGGGAAAAAAGGAAAAGAAAGAGAAAAGTATTCAACAATCGAGTCATGGAACTAGAGAGGCTGGAAAATCAGCAAAACAAGACATGGTTTCCACAAATGCCAGAAGTAAGAGAATGGATGCTCGTGCTTATAGGGCATTGTTCAGGGAAAAGCTTAAGAAGGCTAATTCATCTGGTACCTTAATTGTCTTCTCCTTTTTTGTATTTCTTCCTCCATGGACATCCCCATTTCACATTTGGTCCATATTATTCTTTTTTAGAGTGATAATGGTTCACTTACTATCAATTGGTCGATTTACTTCTATACGCATGCAAATATAGTCATTAAAATCTTGCATGATAACCATTTTTTTTTTTTTTTTATAATTATTATATATATATATGTATGTATATATATATTATTGTCTTATACCTTTTAAAGATATATTAAAAATCCAAACAAAATTTTGAAAACGAAAAAAGTAATTCTTAAAAGCTTGTTTTTGTTTTTGTATGTAGAATTTAGATAAGAATTCTAATGTTTTCTCAAAAATGGTGAAAACTATAAATTCATGTAAGGAAATAATCAAAACTTACAAAAACATAAAACTAATCACAAAATTGTTATCAAATGCCTAAGTAAATTACTAGAATCCAGTTCTCATTACCATATTATTTCTATCTTAATTACTTGTGCAAATTTAATTAATTCATAATTATTCCTTATGCTATTTTAACAAGTTGATGATTATGTCTTCTTATCTTTCTTCTCCTTCAGTCGTAGTCCATCGAGAGCGGAAAAAGATTCCAAAAAAAAACACTCATGGTGGTAGCCATAGTTGCAAGGAAGACTTGAATGAGAGCAATAAGTGCAATGAGAAGAGTGGAGAATTGAAAATCAAATGTCTAGAGGAATCCTGTACTAGAGCTTTGGAGGACTCTAAGGAGACGATAACTAAAGAATTGAGAAGCAAATGTCTAGATGAACCTTCTACTAGAACTTTGGAGGGCCCTAATGAGACTAATAGTAAAATTTCCAAGGAAGTGGTGGAAAATGACACTGCATTAGATTTCCAACTGCCAAGCCAGAAGTCCTTCGAGGAAGAATTGCTGACTGAACTATCAAATGAAGATAGTGATAGTGTAGATGCAGTTATCAGTGCAACTAAGAAATTGAAAACATTAGAGAGAAACAATTCTATACCTGGAGAAAAGATGGTTGATGACCATACTGACTCAGATGGGGAATGTAAATTAATTTCTTTGAAAAGAAAAAGAAGCATGGAGAACCTGGATTCTAATGCCTTGGTGAGGAATGAAAGTGAAAAAACGTGCTCTTCACCGGCTAGATCTGTTCAATCATTATCATCTCTATCTGGACAAAGTGACGAAGTTGAGACATGTGGCAACTGTTTGAAGAGACAAAGGTACTAGTCTTGATCATGTTAGTATCAAGTATTTGTAGCAATTCATAGCACCATGGAGTACTTATTGAACATGAAGTCCATCTATACGACAAAAATGTTATTGGCCATTACCCATCAATCACTCATCACTAAGCAATAGGAGATGCCAATATGTTATTGAATTGCGAATGATAAGGATAATCCAGATGTAGAATTGAATATCTGGTTTGCCATATTAGTTGTAGTGTTGTCAAAATTTTACTAATGGGGAGTGGAAGTATGTTTGTAATAACAAAAAATATAAGCATAGATGGTATGCATTATGACTATGAACCTATTTATTCCTTTGGATTAGTGACCCTTTCTGTTAGTAATTGGACTCCTCTTGCTTGGCTATTTTTAAAGAACACTTGATTTTATTTATTTATTTATTTATTTATTTTTAAGAACACTGTAAGCCTTTGGATGCCAGACTTGAATACCTGGTTTTCCGTATTAATTTTAGTGTTGTCAAAATGATACTGATAGGGAATGGAAGTATTTTTTGTAATAAAAAGATGGAAATCGTAGATAGTATGCATTATGATTTTGACCTATTTATCCCTGTGGATTGGAGACTCTTCCTGTTAGTAGTTGGACTCCTCATGTTGGGCTGTTCTTAAAGAAAGCTTGGTTTCTTTTAGAAAAAAATTGGATGCCACATTTTCATTAAGTGGAGGCAGAATGAAAGGGGTATATAGTTCCAATCATGTTGGACCTGTCCACTTATTTGGGCACATTTGGATTCATCACACTGGGTATAAACTGAGTTCACTTTTTCCTCCTATAACCTTTCTTTTATTTTGTCCAATTGGAAATGTTTATTAGAACTCCTTTAGATATGAGCTTTTATCTCTCCTTTTTTCACATCAATGAAATTATCTTTTAAAAAAAACTTTAGTTACCAGTGACACATTTGATGTGTTCTTCATTGTTACATATTGCAGGGTTGACAATAATTCATCGAAGGACTTCTGCTCTTGTGTGGAAATTGACCAGCAGAACGGAAAAACATTCATTGAAATGGTTTGTTTGTTCTTTCTCTTTCTTCAT